AACAAGTCTCTGTTATTCAAATCTGTTCGCTGTGACATCTTTCTCATTATTTAGTTTCTGCAATCTTGTTAATAATGGTGAATTATTCAAATGCAGAAATGGCGGAAATGCATTATGTATATGGCCTTGCCGACGGTAATGGTGAGCAAGCCAGACGGATTTATCACCAGAGATATCCCGATCGTGCTTTGCCAGATAGTCGATCCTTTTCTAATATTCATCGTTCTGTCCGAAAAGGAACATCTGAAGGTAAACCTCTATGTGTGAGAACACATGAAATTGAGGAAGCAGTGCTGCACGAAGTCAAAGAACATCCTGAAACGAGTACGAGGAAGAAGAATATTTGCCATCAAATTGTTTGGAGAATTATAGTGGATTTTTTGTTATATCCTTAACATATTTTAGGGATAAAATCCGCAATTTGAATCAATGATTTTGTTCACGGACGGAGCTAGTTTTTCTCGAAATGCCATTCAAAATTTCCACAATAATCATTTGTAGGCAGAAGAAAATCCCTATGCCGTAACCGAAACCCATTTCCAATACCAATTTTCAGTTAAAGTATGGGCAGGAATTATTAGCAACCACTTTATTGGCCCATTCTTCTTGCCGGCACGACTTGACGGACAGACTTACCTCAATTTTCTTCAACAGTTGCCTTTGCTGCTTGATGATGTTCCGTTAGTAATAAGAAACAATCTGTGGTACATGCATGATGGTGCACCAGCGCATTTCAATGTGCGGTTCGTAATTATTTACAAACTGCTTATGCAAATTGTTGGATTGGCCGCGTTGGACCCCAAGAATGCCCACCAAGGTCCCCAGACCTCAACAGCTTAGATTTGTTTTTGTTGGGCTATCTAAGACACTAGTGTACACAAGTCCCAATAGCACTGTAGAGGAATTAAGATAAAGAATAGTTGCAGCTTGTGATAGAATAAAAAACACTCCAGGGATATTTCAACGAGTGCGCAATTCCATGAGAAGGAGGGCGGAAGCATGCATACTAAGTAAAGGGGGCCATTTTCGACAATTTTTGTAATCATTTCGTTGGTTTTAATGTTATGTTTATGTTGTCAGTAGTTGTTCTTGTTCATTACCCCTAATATGTTCAATTTTTCCAATTAAATTAGTAATAATTTTGCAAGTTAGACAATAGAAGGGTATTTTCTTACTCAAAAATGGCGCATCGAAGGAAAACAACTCAAGAGAGATCATTTGTTTTAAATTGGACGGGAAATTCAAAAATAATTTTTATTTGGCAAAAAACCATTGGCGTACCACTTTTTTCTTAAAAAATATCGAAGTTAATACCCGTACGCACGCCACTGTTAAAGCTAAAAATTATTTTTGCATTGAAAAATATGCAACTTTATTAACTTTCACTACGTACTAAATATCAGTGAAATATCTGAAGCGGTGAAATATTAATTAATTTCCATTTTTTTCCTAAAACTTTAATATCCCGAGTTTTTGTAAGGAAACATTATTGGACCATAGTTTATAAAGCAATCTAACATTAATTTTTCAAGTAGATTCACACCCTTAAATATTCGCATATCATTAAGGACCCCCTGTATATCAATGGGTATCCTTGGCGTTTTAGTGATAAGGAGCGAATCGGATAAGCAATCATGATTTTTAATTGAAAGATTTGGGAGAGCTATTTATTATTTATCGTTGAACTCTGGACACAGTAACGAATTCTGGCTAGGTAGAATAAGCTAGCATGCAATTTGTTTTGATACAAAACCAGTAGTCAGGATACAAGCGTATATACTACAAGTCATTCGGGCTCATGCCGCTAGTTTCATAGTTTGCATGGAATTTATAATTTTCTACAAAAGTTGATTGGATTCTATATAACTCCAGTGCTCCAGATAATTGCTGTAAATGGTGAAGTTTTTGTGAAATGCAATAAACAGTTTGAATTGAATAAAATGTATTTATCGATAACTGTTGTAAGTTACAGTCATCGGCGATCAGAGTGCAAACCACTTTTATTTGAAAATTTGAAGTGAAGGAGCTTCATTATGGCTTAAATAATTCCAATCAGAAAAAATATTTTCAAATTTTCGGTTCATTTTGTTTACATCTAAATAAAGCCTTGTTATAAAAAATGCATTTTTGTCTTTCATTTATTGCTATCACTTTCATCTACAACTATGCCAAGCTTTTTAGCCTGCTATTATTACGTTGCCCCTAAATGATGACAGTTAATAAAAATGTGCTGTCATATTTGCGGAGACTCTATAACAATTAACTCCAACGATATTTTCATTATGCAGTAATTAAAAAGCATACTTCCTGTTAATATAAATTAATACTTATATATTGTGGGCGTCTCTCGGATTATTTGTCATGAGAATTTATGTCTCTATTAGTTGTTAGTATACTGCCTTCTTGGGTTTTAATAATAGAGACGGCTTATGAGCACGTCTTAGAAAACATCATTGCGATTTAGCTGGATAGAAAGCTTAATAAAAGAGAACTTTTGATTAAATGGATTATTATATGGGTGGTCCGTAATGGATGCTGCAACAAGCAAACCTAGATCGAACTCACGAAAATCCTAGTGACATTGAGACAAATATGCATTAGTAAGATTTCAGGGTGCTCAAGATTAGTTAATTGATTTATTTATATCATGTATAGTTGATCTTTCAACACAATATGTGGATGGCGCTGGTTACCGCCTATAACCTCGCCACTTCATAACTTTCTTGCCAGTTCTGGCCCATGAAATTTCAACTATAAACAACTTCTGAAACCTTATTGAAATAATTCTGTATAATCGTCTTTACCTATCTTCTAACAATCATACATCAAAATATCAACATGGCTTCATGAGTGGTAGATCAGCTGTCACCAGCTTAGCGGTTTTCACTCAGTTTTTGTCAAATATTTTTTTGGACCGTTAGAGCCAGGTGTATTAGGGTTATTCGGCTTCACTGATAACACAATATTGTTATTAGAATCTTAGTTATAGAATCGTCAGCTATTTATATCCGACAACAGTTTCGAGTCTCTTCGCTATACACATACAGCATCGTCGGTAGTACCACAGGGTTCGAGCTTGCCACCATTGCCCTGTAGAATTTTATTAATGACATAATCACCAATATTGATTGTGGAACGTTGATATTCGCCGACGACTTAAAACTGTACTTTGAAATCAGCTTTACTGATTAAGAATATTTGCACTGTTAGATATCAAATTTGGCAAATTGGTTCTTATTGAATAAACTGCATCTTAATATGTATAAATGCCAAGTGATAACTTTACGTAGAAAGCATCAGACAGGTATTTATCCTTATAGCCTGGAGATGAAAGATATCACGGCATGAAATGGCTTGAGACTTGGGCGAGACATTTGACAGTAGGATGAGATATGCCTCGAACATTTACAAAATTATCAGTAAGGCTAATAGGGCTTTAGATTCTATCGTTAGAAACTGTGAGATTATCAAAGATTTGGCTGCATTAATGGCTTTACGAGTATACTCCGTGTACGTAGTACCAAACTGGAATATGCGTTGCTAATTTGGAGTCCTTACTACAACAGCTAAATCAAATGTGAAATGTAAAAAAGAAATTTCTCCAGTGTATGGCTTGGAATACCAAATCTTGCTGGAAAGATTCCAAATTCAGATGAGTGAAAGAAAGTAACTCTTGCATGGTAAAGTAGTATCTTCAGACTTACTGTCGCAGCTTCAATTTCTAGCTCCTCGGACATCTTCTAGATTCAATGCACTATTTTTTTGCATCCGTGCAAATACCAACTTGACTCTAAAATCTCCGATTAGAGTCATGCGCATATCACATGTAACTATTGCAACATTTTTGTTTGTATTGTCTACCTGAACTCAAGGGAGTTCTACGGCAGCACCTTAAAGTCGCACGTTCCTGTTTTCGCTTTTTTTTCAACTGCCTGTTTGCAGTGGTATTCTAAATCCTTTTCATTTTATTACTGCATGATCTGTATATACATGACTAAAAAACGTAGTATTTAATTTTGTTTTGTCATCTAATGCATGTTTTGTGCATTTTATCGTGGATTTTTTCTTCGATCGTTAACAAAAATCAGTACAGCAAGAAATTGTATGTGAATGATACATTTTTATGGATGAATGAAACAGGTGATTACTTTTATTCTTATCACTTTTTCTGTTCGAAAAATCCTTGCTTTTCTGGAAACCTCAACTTGCTGCGAGACGAGGCTTCACGAAAGTCAAAGATTTTTCGAATAGAAAAAGTGATGAGAATAAAAGTAATCACCTGTTTTATTCTTCCATAAAAGAGGAATATTCACACTCACTTTCAGCCCTCTACGTATATTTGTTGACAAGTTCCGATTGAAGAGAGATGCACAATAAAAAATGCATTTTTGAAAAAAAAAATTAAAACATTGGAATTTTCAGACGAAAAGGATTTGGGATACTGCTGCAAACGGGTACCTAAAAAAAATCTAAAAAATGACGTGCCACCTTAAATAACTTCACGCAACATGCATACACTTTTTATATTTCTGTGTTTTATTGAATTTACCACGTTTGTATTGTTGGTTTTCTTATTTTTGATTTGCTAATTTTCGGTTTTTTGTCCTGTAAATGGAATTGCAATATTGCAACAAATGCTATTATTGTTATTATTATTATTGAAAATTATTCCAATAATAACTATACACTTATGCAGTATGAACGGCTAGATAAAACTCAAAGAGTAGATCAGTAACATTTATTCAAACGTTGAGACCTTTAAAGATAGAGTTTTCAAACCTTATTTGACAGATAGCGTTTAACAATTACTCAACTATAAATAATTTTATTTTCCTAATTCTACCCCAGGAAATCACCATTAATGACTTAAATACTCTATTGAGTAGTAACTTTTCTCTCTCTAGGTAAATAACTTTCTGAATACCGGTGAGAAATATGCAACAAATTTTATCTGAAGATAGCAAACCTAATTCTATATTTCCGCGTCAAAAAATTATCGGAGTTAAAATGAGATGCCGTAGCATTATCTATGAGAAATTGTCACAGCTGTTTCACTATTTACTAAATATGCCTAGAAGAGATTGTCTTACAGATTGTGTTATAGTCACCTATATGCTAGTATATACTCATATAGACAGCGTCATCTACGAGACACTAACAATTTCAAAGTATATTAAATAGAGAAACAGCTGTGATAATCCTCATAGACGACACTACGATATCTTGTTTTGTCTCCGATAGCTTTTTGGATGTGGGAATATAGCATTAGGTTGGCTATCGGCAAGTGGAATATTTGAATCAGTGGTATACAGCGTAAAGTAGCTAATCTTCAACACACTGGAGATAATACTGGAAAATCGCTTTTAAATCTCGCAGTAACTATACCGTCAATCAACATTAGAACATTACTGCTCTTGCAGATGATAAATGGATTAATTAGTCCAAACTCTCCAAATCTAATTATTTAGTTTTGTCAATCTTGTGAACTGTATATTTCAAAGTATTTGAGAAAGTGATCGACCAATAAGGAACAACTTCTCGACCTAGTTATGTAATATACGACTAATGAACATGTCCATGGGATGCCATTGTAGCATTAGCAGCAGCTGCTCTTCTAGAAGCTATTGCAGCTTTTCTCATCAGCGAAAGCCTGAATTGCATCAACATCACCAAATATGTTGCTCCTGAAGTTATAGTCTGAAAATAGATTGGCTATTTAGTCAGGCCTTATTAGGGAGTTATTGCAGGTCGAATAAAGCCAGGCGCTAATAATTCCTGGCCATATTTGACATCTGAGCTGGCGCAGTAAAACAAAAATAAGACTTAGAAAAATCGTTGTACTGCCAAGAATATATTTTCTTCTTTTTTTGTGCGAATAATCTTAGTTTATAGTAGCTTTCGCAGATAAAAGAAATTATATATCTACGGAGAGTAGCTTCCTTTGCCGTGCTCTTGCTACTTTTTGTACTTGACCCTTTGGTCGTGAAATTCAAACCAACAAGATTGATATTTACCTACAACAAGTTGCAAAACACGCAATAGCAAAACTTTACAATTCATAAGATTATTGGAATTACATCAGTCTTTTACCCTTTTAAACAAGATAAAAGTTTATCCCAATATTTTTAAATTATGAATGTTGTTACCACGTTGCTGAGTGGTTGGTACTGTCGGTAGGGCGATAGGCTAGATCGCAATATTGTCAAACCTGTGGGGACTATGGATTAATAGTAGGAGCTTGTTTGACTGGCATGATCCATTCTAAGAGGGACTAAGTGGTGTCGAATATAAAGCTTTACGAAATAATGAAATCATGACGTAGGAAGTGGAGCGCCAACATACTTGACGTCATTTTTTCATAAAATGAAAGTATATGGTTAGTAATTTACTTCCATTCTTTCTGCGGAAGACCGCAGTACAGCTTTATTTCATTTTATTTCAGACCCAAATGATAGTAAATGAGTAGTTATCTTCAATGGCTCCAATTAGGAAGATAAGATTTTAATGTTCTTTTCCATCTACCCGTTAAATAACAGCCCAATTAAGATTAATTTCGCACTAACACCGGGAAGTGAACCAATTAAGTTAACCAACCATCCCATGAATTGAACGTCAGGTACCTTGCACCTTTTTACTTAAAAAACATGTGCATAAAATGTTATGACCATTTACTAGTATGAGCTATACTATTAATTTGAGGGTTTGCTACTAGAAAATGCACCGTATAATGAGTTGCTCAGAATCAAGCAGAAATGTGGGCATGCCCCTAGATCGACCCAGATTCATTCGCCAGCAGACGAGAAAAACAACAAAACCCGCAATCTTTTATTGAAGCATATTTGGAAAGTATTACTCGGATTTGGATAACATTTTCACACAAGGTGACTACTATGACAAGGACAAAAAATCTTTGAAGATTTAGAAAATCGGTCAGTGGCGGCGGAACTACAGGCAAAAAAAGGAGAAAAATAGAAGTCGCTAAAACTTTAAGCTTTTGTAGTGGTTAAAAATTAGGAGTTGCGAGTTTTAATGAATGGAGAAGGGTAGTTCTCAATTTTTGAGTGTTAGTTTATTTATACGCTTCAAACCCTTGTCATTCTATACACCTCTTAGACATATTTCACACATAATAGATTTCCTCGTACATTTGCCCTTAAAACTTTAAGCGATAGAGAAACCTTTTCGATACGCGCCCCTACTTCCGACCTCTGCGCTCATCGGCGGACGCGTCAGTCTTCATAAGTGTCCTGGTATAACTGACGCGTCGTACGAGCAGGCATCAGAGCAAGGCAACATTGCCAGATGGAAGGTACTACCGGTAAAGCAGGGAAAGAATGTCAATGGACATGGGTCTGTTTGACTGACTTGATTCGTTCAATTTCTCTTTGTACATATTCACAAGTAACTTTTTTAGCAGAGGGTCTAACTCAACTTGTGCTGAACATAATCCTTCATGAATTGACAATGGCATTGCATGGGAAATGAACTACTACTACTACTTGACGCCATTTCTTACGAGTCTAGACTGATAAAACAAAAGCGATCTAAGAAAACTTCACACTTTTCAGTTTATTTATGTGAGTTTAACGTTCGGTTGATTTTTATGACTACACACTCTACAATTGCTTAACAGGCAAGCTGAAATTTTTTGTTTTTGCATGCGATTCAGCATCCGATCAACATTTGGGCAAATGAGCCGATTTTTGAAATTTGCTTGTCTTCAATAATCTGCCAATCAGGCTGGATACTGCGAGTTGCTTGACACCCTCACAGCGGGTAAGTATGCAGAGCGAGTGGGGGGCGTGTTCGAATAGATTTTTTATCGTATTTCCATATTATCTCGATTATTTTTTGAATCAAAATATCTTCGCATAAATCGACAGGATATCATTATTTGTATGTCTTGAGCATATCAGGCGTGACAGAGTAAGTTTAGTGAAAAAGTTATTGTCAGAACAAACATTTTTTTTTAAATAATGGGCTTATTATTATATTGTTAAGTCCTTAGAGATAACATACTGCTCATTAGTAGAGACTCATATAAACCATTGCGTTACCCACCTATAGAACTTTTCCAAGAAATAAAATTCTTTGACTTACGGCAGCAGTATTTCTATCGAATAATAATATCTCAATATAAAAATATAAATAACAACAACAAAACACAAATGTAAGACATGTAACAAAAACATTATGGAACTATCAAAACCGTACAAAAAGATAATGGAAACATCCTTTGTATTTCTTGGTCCCAGATCTTATAATCTGATACCGTAGGATTTGAAGCAACTTAACTAGTTATTCAAAGTAAAGCCGAAAGACTGGATCAAAGGGTTGCCAACAGCAAGAGTGCATCAATATGTTGATGTAACAAATACTTTCTATATAAATGACAATATGTAAAGATGAATAACTTCATTATTTATATTTTTTGGCTATAACAAGGATTAACACTCATAATGAGTGTCTCAAAAGTGTAAGCTCTTATATAGGGATGTAGTTAATATAAACAACAAAATAAGTTAATAAGAATGTATGTTTCATTGTAATTACATGACAGTTCAGTGTATATTATATATCAAACTTTTGTATGGATGTATACTGTTGTAACAGTGATTGAGCAAGTGATTAGACTTTATACATGATAGAAAATGTTTCTTTTATTTTGCTTATTATTAGGCTAATAATTTGAACTCACGCACAAGGTGTGTACTTTCTGTAAGCGCTAGAATGTTCATCAAATGATAAATAAATATTATTATTAGTATTATTATTATTATCATTATTATTATTATTATTATTATTATTATTATTATTATTATTATTATTATTATTATTATTATAACATATTAATACTTTAATTTAATGTGGACATAAAACTTTCTCGAATAATTATGGAAATAAGATTTAAAACATGGCGTTAACAGGTTGACCGCACTTCCATTCAACGCCGTCATCAGTTCATAGATTATGTTCAGTACAAACTAGTGTGTCTGAGAAAAAGTCAATCAAACAGATCCATACAATTTTATTAGTCCATAGGCATCCTTTCCCTGTCCTACTGCTAATGAAGTTGGGAATGTCCGCGGCACTCACCCCGGTCAGACCTGGCCGCGCGGTCAGAGCATGGGAGACAATATGCTGTTGCGTGGCAGAAAATACGTGTAATAATATACCAGAATATTTAAGGGCAAATGTACGGAGAAGTCTATGATGTGTAAAATATCTCCAGTAGGTGCGTAAAAATACCAAGGTTGGGAGCGTATAAATGCACTAACATCAAAAAATGAGATTAACCCTTCCTACCCCCTATAGCTCCCTCATTCAAGTTTTTTGCCTCCAATTTTTTTTTCAAAAGTGATCAGGATACTCTGAATCGTTGAAAAACAAAGTTTGAGTGATTTTAACTTTCTCTGCCTTACTGGTACATAGTAGTGACATTGTGTAAAAACTTCATCTAAATTCGAGCAGTACTTCTCAAATTATAGGCGGTTCTAATTAGCGGACAGACAGACTTGCCGACAGAAATGGTTTTTCGTGATACACATGTCATATAACATCCAAAAAGCATAGTATCTCATTTTCGAAAATTATCGTCGGTAGGCGTGGGAAGTAAAAATTGGACAAAAAATCGCAAATTTTTTAATAAGGTGCAAAAACCTAATACTGCGTCATTAAAGCATATACCACTACATACCAAAATAAAACTCAAATCAGCGGGAACAGAAAAACAACATACTAAAACGTGACCAACACCGTAATATCCTTGAACTATTTTTACTTACCGAAGAAATAAGCTTTCTGTTTATGTTAGCGTATCCATTCAAATTCATTATTGGTGGATTCTTGTCAATGGCTGTTAGAAACATATTCACTTCTTGGCGAGTTCGGCTGTCGACAGCACCTGTAACAGCATAGTAAAGTCGAAGTGACTGAATGAATAAATGGATGAGAAAATTAGAGTCGGTATAATATATTCAACTTTTGAAGATTTGGGATTCCATCTATACTGGGCCCCAAGACCCACCTTTTCTTTCATTTATTCAGGGTGAGTTTTTGAGGGTGTTCGAAAGCTCCATTATTTTAAGACACTTTTGAAAAAGCTAGTTAGAAGAACTATACGCGAGTCATACCTACTACATTTTTAAATGTAATACACTGCATCTTTAAGTATATCCTCGAAGGCCTTTTCAAAGGAAACAGTTTGATATGCATACTGTAGAGAAAATTGTATATTTTTTTGTATTTTATTGCTAGGTAGTGAAAAAACTTAGATCAGCGAGAAGGGGCACTCGTGGCCTTTTTGGACATTGAAGGTACATTTAATTGCACCACAACCGACTCTATCAGACATGCCTTGGTTAGGCACGGGGTTGTATCAATCCTAATAGATTGGATCCTATCTACTCTGGTCGGTCGGGTAGCAACAGCTATGCTGAATGATATAAGCTGCAGCGTCAGCGTAGCTAGAGGCTGCCCTCAGGGCGGACTTCGGTCATCCCTACTGTGGTGCCTCGTGGTGGACGAACTCCTGTTTAGGCTCAGCAGTGTGGGTGTCTACGTACAAGCCTATGCTATTGACTTAAGTATAGTAGTTAGGAGTCGTTTTTGTAGAACAGTCTCTGAAATTATGCAGGACGCTCTGCGCTCTGTGGAATCGTGGTGGAGGGAAGTCGATCTTTCTGTCAATGCTAGAAAGACCGAGCTGATCCTATTCACTAGGAAAAGAAGGCTTGATGCGCTTGTCTTCCCGACATTTTTTTGGGACTAGACTAGTCTTATCCCAATCAGTAAAATATCTGGGAGTTATCCTGGACTGCAAACCGAACTGGAGAGAGCATGTTGAATACAAGTTTAACAAGGCTCGCAATTGAATGAGGGCCTGTAGACGCGTTGTCGGTCTAAGGTGGGGACTTAAACCCAAAGTGGTATACTGACTCTACACGACGATAGTACGTCCATCTCTCGTGTATGGCTCCCTGGTCTGGTGACGTTACATTGGAACTGAGACAACTAAGGCCAATCTCAATAAAATTCAGCGTTTGGTCTGTATTAGCATTACAAGCGCAGTGCGAACAACGTCATTGAGTGAAATGGAAGCCCTTTTGGATCTACCACCATTAGATCTAGTGATCCGCGGTGAAGCGGGAGTAGTCGCTCATCAATTGTGGACTCAGCTGGGCCTTCTTGAATCCTGTCAAGCGGCATACTGTCATTTTAGTCGAATTGCAGAGGGAGGACTCCGTGATTCTAAACAGGGGTGATCTTATTACTCCTAAATATCGCTCCAACCGCAAGTTTAATGTGGAGTATCCAACGAGGGAGGATTGGGACGCCGGTACCCAAGAGGACTCAGGCACAGGGGTCTCTGGGCCTAGAACTAGGCTATCTCTGCCTCTTATCCGACAGCCAGGCCGCAATGAAGGCACTAAGTGCATGTAAGATTACTTCGAGTCTTGTAATGCAATGCAGGGAGGCCCTGGATTGCCTCGCAGCGAGGCATCCGGTATCGTTATTGGGGGTACCAGGGCACGCTGGGATAAGGGGCAATGCGACGGTGGACGCTCTGGCGCAGACAGGATCAGCCAGCAAGCTCGTTGGTCCTGCGCCATCTTCAGTGCCCACGCATAGTGTTAAGAGGAAAATTGGGGACGTTGTATCTCCAGACATCTCCGCCAGGCACGGGTATTCATTGAAGAGCCCAGTGCTTAGGAGGGATGTTTCTGATTATCTCTGAGTTAAGGCGTAACCTGCACGTGATGGGGGTGGCTGCGGATCCCTTGTGTGAGCGCTGTGGGGTAGAGGAAGAGACCTCGCCGCAGGTTCTGTGTCGCTGTGAAGCTCTGAGCTACTACAGGTAGACTAAACTGGGGTCAAGGAGCTTGTACTCAATGCCATACTCAACTTCGCTAAAAAGGCGAGGCTTGTGATCTAAAGAATGTAGAGGTGCATAAACGGCCTTTCCACTGGCTCCTTATGGTGGCCGGAATGCCTCTAATTTCACGATTCATTCATTCATTAGAAACTAAAATTTTAAATAAATAACTTCCACATAATTCATGAAAACCTAGGATTTTCAGTGGATGACTAATAAATGATTTCAATGAAGGCTTGTACCCAGCTAATGAAAATCTGGCTTTCTTACAAATCATATGGTATGTGAACTGTAATTTTCAGAAAACTCTAAAATTTAGTAATCCAACTTCCCAAACACTTCATATTGAAAAAACCTGTAAGAAGGATACCCCAATACCGGAAAATACATAGACATTTGTATTTTCTGAACAGAAGCAGATTTTTGAATAGACGACGCACAAAAATTTTGAAGACGTTTAAATGATCTGAGACTATACCAAGCCCACTTCAAGGCTTCCTAATCTAGTTGCAAAAGTAAACCTGCCAAAGTTGAGTGTTTTTTTCGGAAAAAGCGTTTCAATTATAAATTATACAAATCTGTAACTGGCCCTACGATCGCTGCTTGGTCCAAAATCAACAAGCATCTTCTTCTGTACATAGGTATACCATTCTCATGAAGAAATAACTTATACATCCTTTGATGTGACCGAAAACAGGACAGAGCTGCTTCTCAATGCATTGCATGTTCATAGTAAAAGGTGTACACGATACGCAGGATATGAAATCATCAGCGACACGTCTAAGCAGCTATAAAATGAATACAAATTGATACGCGACCATTACAATAGGTATAATAATGTATTACAAAGGTTGACGTCTAAATTTGTACCCATTAAGTGATGCATATAACGATAAATATATATCTGCAGTTTGCCTGATAGTCCAGTCAATGTTTATATAAATCTAGTTTTGGCAGAACCTGTATTGACATATTTGTTCCAAGCCGGAAAGACATACTTGCTGTTAGTGATAATTCTGGCAACTACGAAGATAAGTGGAAAGTGCTAGTTAGGCCTGACGCAGTCATGACGCTCCAATCAACGATAGCTTGAAATTCCTGCATGTGCACACATGGCATTTGTTCATATGACAAGCTTCAACTTGTTCTCTCAAGTAGTTTGTCTACATTAAGTTTTCAAGTTTTAAGTGAACGCCTTCCATGGTTTTCACCAGGATGGATATGTTACCGGACAAACCCGATTTTAGAATAAACTAGTTTTCCCTAGCCCAAATCAGTTTATCCTAACAGCGATAGGATGAACTAAACTGAAATAAATTAATTATGATTAGGAAAAACTGGTTTGTCCTAGTCTAAACTGCTTCGGACCGGGACTTAACTAGTCTGAACTCGTTAAAAGGTAGCTGCGTGGCTTTGGCTTGTTTTTCGACATTTTGAGACATTTTGTGTGACGTAGGTCAAAAAGAGTGGATGCAGAGATTGTTGGAAGAGGTTTTAAGATCTGAGGACGAAAAATCAACTCATTTTAATGTTTTGATAAAGGAAAAGTATTTGGGACTTATGCAACAAGTGGAAGGGGCTAAAAAACGGAAAAGAAATCATCCTTGCAACAAAGAACACTGACAAGATTTGATGTGGTGGAAATCGGAGGTATAAAGAAACTTACCGCACGAAATGAAGAAAATACAACTAACGTAAAGTATTATCTCACCGCTGATGAGTTCAGAAATGAATTTGATATCTGCGCACAAAAGTTTCGTTAAGAACCGAAGCAATTAAACATTCATTTGGAACAGGCCAAGGTTCCTTTAAGTGTAGTTGCACCAAGAAGTGATGCCTGTGCAAGAAAAATACCGTTCTCTGCAAGTCGAAATGCCAGAATAGTTTAACATGTAATAACAAGTAAATAATAAAAGTTATTAAACATGTTGGAGAAAATTTAGCATCCAGTATTAAAAAAAAAGGTTTCGAACGACATGTTCCCAATTCATTCTTTTTAGAAAGCGTTAGTCCGATTGAAGTACACCTAAAACCATAAAAAGTCCTGGTGTAGATGGTATCAAAGCTGACCATTTAAAAATAATAGCCTACGACTTAGCCGAACCACTTTCTTACGTCACTAATTGGTGTTTCCAATCTGGAATTTGTCCTGATGCATTTAAAACAACTGTTATTACTCCTGTTTATAAAATTTTCGAAAAATTACTACAAAAAAGGATATTACAATTTTTGGACAAAAACAAAATTATAAGTTCTGACCAATATGGATTTAGAAAAGGAAAATCTGCTACAGATGTAATTTTGGCTACAATGAATGAAATTAAATCTAATGTCAACAAAATGATACCTACTATTGGTATCTTTGATACGGTTAACCATGTCGAGCTTCTGAAAAAAAATTTACATCAAGTGTGGTGTGCCTCAAGGAACAGTACTAGGCCCACTATTATTTAGTCTCTACTTAAATGACTTATTCAAAATTTACAGTTCTGGAAAGATTATATGTTTTGCAGATGACACCCTCGTATTATATAAAGCTGATGACTGTAGCACACTGAAGCAAATACTGAAAAGGATTTTATAAGGATTATTGACTGGTTTGATACTAAAATTTTAACAGTCAACTTCAAAAAAACAAAATTTATTGCATTTACATCCTATTCAAAATTTTTACCTACCTTCGAACAAATTTCCGTTAATTATCATGGCCAAAAGACCAAAATCGATAGAGTTAACACTTTGAAGTATCTTGGAATATTTACGGACTCACATCTAAGGTGGGATAACCATATTAAATATGTTATCAAAAAAATTAGAAATGTTGCCTATAAACTCAAAATGCTTGCTAACATTCTTACAGAAAGTTATCTGCGAATCCTATACCATGCCTTAGTTGAAACCCATATAATATACGGCATCACAGCCTGGGGTGCCGCCTGCAAGACATATATTTCTGACCTGAATATAGCACAAAAAACTGTTTTGAAAGTCATTTTCCATAAGCCAAGATTATATCCGACGAACAACTT